TTTTTTGGCAGAACTAGGGATTGAACTCAGGTCCTTGCACTTGCCAGGGAAGCGCTTACTCTACTGAGCCATCTCCCTGGCCCTTCTACTTTTTATTTTGAGAGAAGGTCTTCTTAAATTATTCAGTTGTGTAGACTGGACTCAAAGTTTAGATCCTTCCTCAGTCTCCTAGAATACTGGGGTTAAATGTGTGCACCATGTGCTTGGCTTTTATTTTTCAATTAAAAGATAATTGTACATCCGTGTGGTGTCTCATCACATGTATATGTTGTGTATGGGGCACTCCAGACACATGTTCTTCAGCATCTCAAACCTTTATCATTTCTTTTTTAATTTTATTTATTTATTTTAAATGTATTTAGTACAGGGTCTATAGGTCTCACTACACAGATCAGACTCATAGTGATTCTCCTGTTTTCAGCCTCCCAAGTGCTGGGATTACAAGCACACACCACCACGCCCAGTCTCAATCACTGTCTCAGCGCACCCCGGGGCTGGGGCTGGTACGGCATGCCAGAGGGGATCGAACTCTCGTCCCTGAGTCTGTCTAAGCAGGCACTTTAATCAGCTGAGCTATCTGGCCAACCTCAAACCTTTATCATTTCTTTGTGACAAAAACATTCAAAATCTTCTCTCCTAATTTTCAACAGTGTGGTACAGCACTACAAACTATACTCATCATGTATTGGTAGAACCCCTGAAATTACTCTTTCTATGTGACTGTGCCTTTGCAGATGAACTTTGTTAGTGAACTTCTCCACCTACCCTATCTTCCCACTTTTCTACCGCCCTGTGTTCTGGTAACCAGCACTCTGCTGTCTTTTTCTTTTTTTCCTGCCACTGCTGGGACTTGAACTGACACTGACTTACGTCTCTAGCATTTCCTTTTTATTTTGAGACAGGATTTTGCTAAGTTGCTCATGTAGGACTTGAACTTGTGACTGTTCTATGTTGGCTTCCCAAAGTGCCAGGATTACAGTTGTGCACCTGGATCAACTGTCTTTTCTGACATAACTTCTTCCACTCTGACACCACAGAGTGTCCTGCAGTTTAACTTCATCCTGACACTGTCCACCTTGGGTGAGCATCTGGCCCCCCAAGACTACTTGTACTCAGATACCAGAGGCAAGCTCCTGGCCCCCAGAACTTCTGACAGATGGAATATAAACTGGGGATTCCCAAAACTTCTTCCTAGTTTTGATAATTGCCTAGAATAGCTTGCAAAACTTAGAAGCACACTCTTATTATGTTCTCTGTTTTATTAAAGGGAGCAATACAGGGGCAAATGGAAGAGGTGGCAGAGCAAGGTATGGGAAGGCACGTGTGGCTCCCACCCTTCTCCAGGGGCACAACCCTTCCTGCATCCCTGGGAGCTCCCAACACAGGCATTGTCTGAGCCTGTTGCTGAGGGCGCTCTCTGTAGGCTTCATTACCTATATGTGGAAGCCTAAACCACTGGCCGCCAGAAGTTGGAGGGGCCGAAAGTATCAAGCTTCCAGCTGAGATTTGACCTTTCTAGTGTCTCAAACCTATCCCAAAGTCATTCAAGGTCCCTCTATCCCCAAGAGCCATCTCAGAAGAAAAGGTGCACCCACACCCCAATCCTCAGGAATTCCAAGGTTTTAGACATTCTCTGCCAGGAACCCAGGACAAACACCAAATGTCTGTTTTGTATCACAAAAAGGCCTGAGACAAATATGACATCAAAGGACTTTTACTCGTTCAGGTACAGTTTTACACTTTAGGTGCATAGGCTGTGACTTCCTGTGACTTTGCAGGTTTTGTGCACAGAATCACATTAAACTGTGCAGGGCTTTCTCCTGGGCCAGGCCACGCATGACAGGGAGGGAGCACTCCTGCCTGGGCACCTGCTTCCAAGCCTGGGTCACACACTCCTAGTTAATCTTGGCACTTTTTAGCTCAGGAGAAAAGGCTGCATTGGGTTTTGAGCTGGATATGGAGAGTGAGATTAGTGGGAACAAAGGTATAAACAGCAGAGCTGAGAGCTTGGTGGTGAGGTGGGTCCTGAGGGGTCACACCTAACACTCCTGTGTATCCCCAGAGGTTAATGTGCTAGGTGATGGGGCTTGAGGGTTAGAAGGCCTACCCTGTTCCCAACTTGAGGGGTGCTGTTAAACCCTGAAGCACAGGACTTCTCTCCTTATTGCTCCCTGGAGGTCACCCTACTGCAGCCTGTGGTTAGGTAAGCTTGTATTCCAATGGCTTGTTCCCAGTCCTGGACCCCCAGTCTCCTTAGCCGTCAAAGAGGTAACAGTACTGGCCTCACAAGGCTACTGCCTGAAACAGTGCAGCACACGTGAAGCATCCAGATCAGGGCTGTCCAATAGAGATATAACGTGAATCACCTTAGTCGATTTGATTTTTTCTAGTAGCCTCAGTGAAAAAGTAAAAAGAAAGTGTGACATGAATCATTGTGGTATGTTTTCTTTTCAACCCAATATATCTGAACATTTGGCACAAAAGTAATCCAGAAATGATTAATGAGATGTTTGTCATTCTTGTTGTCAAACTGTACACTCTTAGTACATTCCCATTTGGATGCCAAATTCTCCTTGGATGGTGAATGTGTGCTTGTCATTGGGTGTGGCAGCACATGCCTATAATCCCAGCTTTCTGGGACACTGACGTACACTGAAGTGGAAGGACCACAAGTTTGAGCCCAGCCTGGGCCGCTTAGGGAGGGCCAGTCTCACCATAAAAAAATTAAAAGATTTGGGGATATAGCTTAATGTAAAGGACCTTCCACTGTGTGTTCAATCCACACAGTATTGGGGTGCGGAATGTTTCATGTTTAACTTGTTCCAAATGCACTTCAAAGTTTCCCAGTAACACAATGGAATATCAATATTTAAATATGAGTTCAGATATTTAGTGAGTGAACAACTATCAAATCTCTTTACTAGGAGCTAGCAAGCAAGGTGTTCCTCTGAAAATTCCTCTCTACCAAGACTTGTTCTCAATTTTTTTTTGTGCCAAGACTCCTCAGTAAATACAGTGTGATGGCAAATTACCTAGAAACAAGTTCAATTCATCTTACTATTCCCTGTATGGTCTTGGGGAAGTTACTTACCCTCGCTGGGCCTCAATGGCTCCCACTGTAGGTTAAGAATAATCTTATCCTTCCTGTTTTGGTTGGTTTTGAATATGATGTAAGTTTATAACTGAAAATCTGTAGACTGTATGTAGCAATCCCACATGACCCTATCCATACATATTAGTCTAAAAAAAAGTTATTTGGCTCTCAGGAGTCATTTTTTCCATTTCATTCTCATTTCTTGCCTGTAAAATGGAAGAATTGCCCCAGAGGATATTGGATGCCTCCCTGGGGTTTTATCTTGTGTGGTCTTATTTGCTTTAAGTAAATTTGTTGTCCATTTTCCCTGTTGTTACCTACTCCTAGAGGGAGGCATTTGGGTTAGAGATGGCCTGGCCCACTCCCAGCCCTCCAGCCTCTCTTATCTGCAGTTCCAATCCTCTGCTCATCCCTGTCTTCTTCCCACAGGGCACTGTCTTCCTTCTACACTGAAGATGGGAACATAAAAGGCATTGAGGATGAGCTGAAGCATCGATTTGACCAGAAGGAGTGGGACTTGGATTCCAGCATAAAGAAAACCACTGAGGCAGCAAAGTTGGAGAATTACTCTCTGACGGACTTTTGGGCCTACATAGTTGTCTCCAAGCAAACCAGGGAAGTAAGTCACCCCCTGCTGAGCTCTGGGATTCTAGGTTGGAAGTTACCAGAGTTCTGCACTAACATCTCCGTTATGAAGTCTTTTAAGGTTTTCTTTTCTTTATTGATACAGGGTATCACTAGCTCAGGCTGGCCTTACACTCACCAGGTTGACCTCAAACTTGCAGTGATCCTCTTACCTCAGCCTTCTACTGCTGAGATTTCAGGGATGTGTGTCACTGTGTCTAGTTTTTTTCCCCCTTGTCTTCCTTTTTCTTTTTAGTTTTCTCCTCTTCCTTTCTCTTTTCTTTTTTGAGACAGAGTCTTGTTATGCAATCCAAGCTTGTCTCAAACTCTCAGTCCTTCTACCCTAGCAAAGGCTGGGATCACAGCAATGGACCACCATGCTCCTCTCTGCACTTTCATTTCATTATTCTTACTTTGGGCAGACTGAATTCTTTTGCTTCTTCATGTGCTTAGGGGAAAATGCTTTCCCCAGCCTTAGAGCATCCTTATGTTCACCCGCAGAGCCTCTGCCCAACGGATCCAGGATCCAATCCCAAACTGCCTGAAGGCATCACCTGGTCAGGTTAGGGCAGGGGCTACGCAGGTCCAAGCAGGTATGGCTATCAGGTGACCTTGGTACAGGCTGTGGCTGTCACAGGGGAGGGTTAGGGTGAGCAGTTGTTCTACTCATAGAAATAAAAGCATAGGCTCTTAGAAGACTATGAGATGGGGACAAGGGAAGAGAAGGAAAGTGAAATGACTGATTTCTACCAGACTATATGGCCAAGGGGAACAGGTGGTGTTTAGAAATGACAGTGTAGGGGGCCGGGGATATGGCTCAGTGGAATAAGTGCTTCCCTGGCAAGCACAAGGGTCTGAGTTCAATCCCCAGTTCCACCAAAAAAAACCCAACCAACCAACCAACCAACCAACCAAACAACAACAAAAGGGTTAGGAAGATAGCTCAGTGGCTTAAGCACTTGCCTGGAAAGCATGAGGTCCTGAGTTCAATCCCTCGTACAGAAAAAAAAAAAAAAAGATAAAGTAGAAATGACAGTGTAGACCAGGTATCTGTGGGTAATATGAACATGGAGGTGCAATTGCCTCTCTCTCTCTCTTCCCCTCCCCTATATTTGAAGGGGTATGTTTGTGTGTGTGTGTGTGTGTGTGTGTGTGTGTGTGTGCACGTGCACATGCATGCATGCATACATGGGTGGTAAGAGCACTTTTTTTTCTGATTTTTTTAAAAAAATTTTTTCCATAATTTTATTGAGAAACAAATAGCAATGAGACAGTTTCAAACCAAATTGGTAGGACAGTTTCAATAATTAACACATTGCATACATTCTTCCTAGTGGTTAATTGCTGTCCAAGATGGGGACATGATAACCTATTTACAAACACTATTAAAACAAATCCCTCTATTCATTAAGAGAATGTAACTATATATCTATCCCAACCATTTTGAATACACAGATACAAAATGGACATTCATCTGTATCACCTTTTTTGTTTAGTTCCGTTATTTGAATATTATAAGTGTGTTAACTCAGCAAAATATCCTAAACGAGTCCAGTAGTCCATAATAGTATTGGGCCTTCCGCTTCACTGGCAATGTCAGTAATTGTTGACCTGAGTCCCCTACAGCAACATAACACCATGGCTTTACTTCTTATACTTTGTTTTTATACTTTTCTGCTGGATGGTTAAGACCAAGGTAAAGCAAGACCTATGCAACAAGAGTTGTAGCTTTTGGGTCTGAGAAGGTCAGTGAAATCCCCTCAGGATTTATCATGAGATCCTGTACCTCAGATTGTAGATCCTTTGTCAGTGTCAACCATGTGGATGAGTCACAGCCATTGCTTGGCCAATGAAGAGCACTTAACCTGAGTTCTATCCCTTTAAATTCTGTGTGTGCTTATTTCGCTTAATATATAAATTTTCAGCTATGCACAATAAATGAATAAGTTCTAGAGACCTGCTTGACAACATAGTCCCTATGGTTAGCAGCATGATATTGTACTTTGAGAGATATGTTAGCAGGAAGAATATTATTTTTATTTATTTTTAAATGGAAACAAAGCTTTTTTATGATTTTTTTTTTTTTTTTTTTTTTTTTTTTTGGCTGGCTCAGGCTGCCTTAAGGGGAGGTATGGTAATGCAGGTGGAGGTGGAAATAGAGCCGAGGTATTCTGCACCTGACTGCATTTGCATGAACAGGCACTTAAACAGTTGAGCTAACTGGCAGGTCCCCCACAGGAAGAATATTCTTAATCCAGTGTGGCATTTAGAAGTTGCAGACATAAGCCTTGTGTTCATCTTCTGTTAGTGGCTCTTGTTCACACAGATTTATGCAACATGGGAAACATTTGGAGGACTCACTGGGGGTTAATTTTTTGAGTAAATCCCTCCTTCCACCCAGTTGCACTTCTTCTGCTGTGCTATTTAATATTCTAAAGGATTTCAAGTTACAGTTTCTCCATCAAAGTATGTATTTCCAATACCTAGAAAGAAACTTTCCTTTTACACCAGGAGACATGGGTTTCCAAGGCAGATTTGGAGGGAGCAACAAGACTTTGATGCCTTGCTACAGCCTTGCTTTCGGTGTTGTAAAATGGTCAAAACCCAAAGCTCTGAGCAAGTAATCCTGAGTGTAGGTCACAGGTCATGAGTGACAGTATCATGGAATATTCCATGTTATCCAGAGGGAGGAGCTGAGGAAGGAAGAGATGAGAGAAATTGTCGGTGATCACCCAGTGAGTACATGGTAGATATGGGAGCCCAAGCAGGGCAGACAAGCTCCAGAGCCTGCACTTTTAGCCACAGCTGAGGTATAGGTGGCAGACAAAAGTAAAGACTCAGTTGCTGCTTCCCAGGGGATGGAGGAAAGGGACATACAAGACACTTGTTTTAAAAACCATTCATTGCACTTTCTCTCCAAAGCTGCAGAACTCTTGCTTATCCAATATGGTGAAGCATGTGGAAGAAGGGGCATTCCCCTACCCAATATTTGCAGCCATTGATGGTGACCTGTACTACAGCAAGAAGAAGGAAGAAGTGCAGAGTAAGCAAACATTTGGAGGGTGGGGCTGGCAGGCAGGAAGTGAAAGGCTGTGAGTGAAATGTGGGGCTGTTGCCCTGACCTTCTCTGTCCCTGTGAGGTCTCCAGCAAGGTCCTAGAAGAAAGTTGCCAGGACAGGGTGCTCTGTCCTTGGAAGGACAAAGGGACATCCCAGCAGGTGAGCAATGCCACACACTTTTTGTGTGGACCAAGAAAATTGTAATGAAGGATGTTTCAGGGACCCAGGCATGGGGGCAGGGAGCAGTGTTTCTGTTTTTATGCCGCTTCTTCCTCCAAGGTTCTAATGACCACTTAAATGTTAGTGGCTTTCCAGACATCCCCCCTTTTTTATTGTACTGGCAACTTTATTATAGCATATTCCAATTTTCCTTTTTAAATTGGTGTATCTTAATTATACAGGCATAATGGGTTTCACTGTGGAATTTTTATATGTGCACACAATAGTCTTGCGTCATATCCTCCCTGTCATTCACTGACCCCTTTGTCATTTTTAGTAGTCTTCCTTCTGTGTTCATGTCTTGACACACCAATTTGTCCTTTGATCCCCAGTCTCTCTCCTGAGATTAAGCATCCTGACCCATTTTCCTAAGCATACAATACACTTCTTGGTTCAACAGCAAGCCCTGATTTCTCACTCTGAGGCAAGGGTCTAAATGCTTGGACGTGTTCTAGTATTTTAAGGCTCAGAAGTCGTTGGGATGAATGCTTCATTCCCACGTGGACCCTGGTGCTGTTTTCTCCACTGGAGTGCATAGAGGTGAAATACTTCTTCCCATAACCAGCCCCATCCTGTCCTCCTACCCAAGACCTCTAAGTCACTTTTCTTCATTGTAATCTGTGATCGTATGAGCCAGGTTCATCCCAGAGTGGGTATTATAGTCTCTTTGGAAGATTCTCTCTCTCTCTCCTCTTTTTCTTCTCTCTCTCTCTCTCTCTCTCTCTCTCTCTCTCTCTCTCTCCATCTCCAATACCTAGTCTCTTCCAATACACACACACACACACACACACACACACACACACACACACACACACATATATATATATCATCTCTATCTTTCTATCTCTATCTCTCTGTATCATGCATGTCCACAAGCCTAAAAATTGAACTCAGGGCCTTTGCTCTGAGGCACTCCCCAGCTCTTTTTCTTTTTTGAGACAAGGTCTCTTTAGGTCCCCCAGCCTGGATTTGAATTTGTAATCCTTCTACCTCAGTCTCCCAGAGTGCTGGGATTATAGGCAAGAGTCATCACACCCAGCTTGGAAGATTCTTGTAATTAATTCCCCATTGACCTTCCTTCCTTGAAATCTTCCTGTGACTTCCCTGCACCCACAGAGGGCTCTCTGTGCTGTTTTGTGTCTGGACTGTTCTGCACTCCACACCCTGTGAAGTTGCATCTACAGTGAGATGAAGGAGGAAGACAGAATGAGGGATCAAGTTTGGAGAAATACTGGAAACAGAAAGTTTTGGAAATAGTACTGCTTGTACTGAATAATAATTCTGAAAGATCTGGGATGAAGTCCCCCAGTTGTTTCTGAGAACACAGTCTGTTTCTAGTGTGCCAGTGTTTTGGTTGTCATTTCTCATTTCATAGATCCTTTTTATTTTCTTCTGAGATAAGGTCTTTCTATGTAGTACAGGCTGGCCTTGAACTCACTTATGCAGTCCAGGCTACCTTCAAATTCATGGTGATCTTCCTGCCCCAGCCTCCTGAGTGCTGGGATTACAGGGATGCACCAGCACACCTGGCCATAGATCTTCCGTCAAAACTTACTGCTTTGCTTGATTTGTGCTTCCAACTCACTCTTTGTATTGCCTCCCCAGATGCCTGGTTTGAATTTACCCCTTACCATGCTGGTTATCCTACACTTGGTGCCTACGTACCTGTCACCCACTTTGGAAGCAAATTCCAAGAGGGAAAACTGGTCAAACATAAGCCTGAACCAGAGCGAGACTTGTCCTTCTTGAAAGGTAGTACGGGGTCAGACAGATGGGATTAAGTGGGGTGGGACATGGAGATGCAAGAATGCTCCCACTGAAAGTCTGGCTCCATCAACCTCCTGTGTTTCTGCAAGTGTATTCAGAGAAGTGTTCTTTCTTTGGAGTCTTCAGTTTCTCTTGGATCTTCTTAACATAATAGATGCCTGGTATCTTATTGGTTGACCTGGGAGAGATGGTTTCTTAGAAGGCTCAAGTTCAGGGCTGAAATTTTTCACACAGATTTAGATGTGGATATGACTTACACACATACACACACACCCCACCGCCACCACCACCACCACCACCACCACCACCAGCACCACCACCATCAACATCAATACCACCACCACCAACAACAATCAGAAACAAACCAAAAACACAGAAACCCACAGTGCTAGAAACTCAAGGATAGCTGAATAATCAGGTATTCAGAAAATAATTCTGAGATGCACTGTGTGTCCCATGTGGCAGCACCCAAACAGAAATAGCAAGAAGACCCGTGTCTTCCTACTTCATGTTTCTTCCCCGGAAATAGCCTTCTCATCTACATGGTGACCAGAGCCGGGTCCTTAAATGGTCACCTCCGATCTTCACTTTTCCCTTATATGGCATGTTCACTCGGATTGTAACTCCTTTTTGTCTCATCTCTCTGTTTCCATAGTCCATCCACATTCATCCATATCCACTGCCAGTCCTGAACTGCTGTCAATTGTCACCGGGATTGTTAGTTTCTTGCTTGCACCTCAGGTTTTGAATTCCTACTCATTTTTTGAGACAGGTCTGACTGTGTTGCCTAGGCTGGTCTCAAACCTGTGTGCTCAGTGACCCTCTCCTCTCAGCCTCCTAAATTGCTGGGACAACAGGAGTGCACCGTCACACCCAGGTCAAGATCTTTCTTCTTTGTTATCCCTTTTTCCCCACTACTAAAGGTTGAACCTAGGGGCACTGCACTGAGTTACATCCCCAGCCTATTTTAAATTGTCAGGCAGGGTGTCACTAAATTGCTCAGTTGCACAAGCTGGATTCATATTTGTAATCTTCCTTCTTCAGGCTCCCAAAGTTCTGGAGTTACATATATGCCCACTACATCTGGTTCTCAAGTTCCTACTTTCTGTCTCCAGAAAGTATCAGATGTAAATGAAATCATACAGGATTTGTCTTTTTATGATTGGCTTATTTCACTTAGCATCATATTTCAAGGTTCATCTGTGCTGTAGCATAGCACAGAGTTTTTTTCCTTTTAAAAAATAATATTCTTTTGTCTCTAGAGACCACTTTACATTTATCAATTTTTTTTGTTGAATGAACACTTTAATTGCTGCTACTTTTAAGTTATTGTGAAGAATGTTGCCATGAATATGAACGTATAAATGTCTGAGGCCCTGCTTTTGGTTCCTTTGGATCCACTTAGAAGTCAAATTATTGGATCATATATTAATTAGGTTTAATTATTTCCTAGACCACCATATTACTGCATCATTTTATAATCTCACTAATAGTATACAAAGGTTCCAATTCCTATATATCTTTACCAATACTTCATGAATTCTAGTTTTAGTTTTTCTAATCATGACATACTAGTGTCAATATCTATGTGTGTCTTTGACAACTTGTTCATTATGTCTCCCCATATCACATACCAATGTGCTTGGTTGAGGTCACTACCAGAGTGTTCTGAAAAATGTGGGTTTAATTGTCTTGTAAACTAAACAAAGCAAAACAAAACACACCACAGGCAAGCAGCTGATAACACTGGGTTAGCTGTGCCACATTTAAGCATGAGGACTCAGAGGATTCTGGATTGCTGCTCTTTCACCTTGAGTGTATTCATATTCACATTTTTGCTAAATTCTTCCTCACCACAGCATGGCTGTTGCATCCATATCATTGTGCTTTGTTTTAGTACAACAGCAAACACTCCCCAGAAGCCCCCACTGTATTTTGCATTGACCAACCTTGACTTCCACCTAGCTGCAAGGGAGGCTGGGAAACACTTGGAGAAGTGCTAATAATCATTGCACTTGAGGTGACTCCATCCACAACAGTGAGCTGGCTCCCTCCCCGGAATAGAACAGTTATGAGGAAAGGAACTTGTCTTGCTTTTTCACTGCTGCCTTGGTGCCCTATGATTGGCTTATTAACATCTACTGAACTAGGGAAGGATCTTCTTTTCCAGCTAGGATACAAACAGCACCTTATGCAAACCAACCATACCAGTTGCATGATAGAGTTTTAGTTTTATTTCTGTTTTCTCTGCAGGATTATGGGGAAGTGCTCTGGCTAGCCTTGAAGAAATTAGACATTATATTTTGAGTGAGTATTTGGGGAACAGAAGGGCTAAAGTCTATAGATATTTTGTACAAGATGTTTGTCATAGTTTTCCTATGCAGAGCAGAAGACAGATCTTTGTGTCATTATTTAGCAATTGCATTTTCTAAATTTGTCATTATCTCTTAAGTCTTTTTGGGGGCAGCAAGGATAAAGTGTAGGCTCCCTTGGAGGAATGTTGTTCTGGCTCATGTATGCTCTAAGACCTCTGGAAAGTTACTTCACCTCTCGGTGCCTCAGAGTCTGCATCTGTAACACAGGGTAATAATTGTAATAGGGGAATTCAGTGAGTTATCTCCTCTACAGCATAAGGGCTGGTCAAATAGCTCAGTGGATTAAAGTGCATGCAAGGAGGTGCAGGGGCCGGGGCTGTGATCCCTGGGCTTGCCATGCCAGCCCTGCCCTGGGGCACACTGAGATGGTGATTAAGACTGGGCATGGTGGTATGTGCCTGTAATCCCATCACTTGGGAGGCTGTAAACAGGCAGATCACCATGAGTTCGATCTGGTAGTAGACCCTGAACACCCTGTAGACCCTTCCATAAAATGCAAAAAAAGAAAAAAAATTCTTCTACAGCATATAGATAAAAGCACTAAGAAGTAGTAGTTAACATCTGCCTTATGCCATGATCATTGTAATAACTGTGGAAAGCAGATGCTATGATTGCCTGCATTTTGCCTTACAAACACTCAACTCCAGAGCTGGTGGCTGTAGTGTACAGAGAGACTTTGTCCTGGTCTTTGCTTTCTTGCAGATCAGTTATCAATGCTAAAGGAAAAATTGAAAACCAAAATAGAACAGCTAAAAGGTAAGCGTCCCTCATTGTGGGGAGTTGCTTTTGATGATGTAGGCCAGCCACAGGCCTCAGAATGTCAGATACAATGAGCTTCTGTACTCAGCACCATCCAAGGAAGTGCTATGGCTGCCTCTGCTGCTTGGGTGGGAATGGCTGTGAGTGGGTCCCATCATTGAAATCACAGAGATGGGTTAATTGTGGCAAGAGTGGGTTTGTTGTAAGAGTCAGCCCAACGTCCCTTGCTTGCTTGCTTTCACCCTTTCCTGCCCTTTTTCTTTTTCCCTTCCTGCAGATGATGCTGCAGGAATCTCTTACAAGATGCCAGCACCTTGATGTTGCACTTACCAACCTCTAAACTGTGAGGCAGATGCATGCCTTTGCTTTATAATTACCTAGCCTTTTCCTGTGGACATACACCTTACGGACATACACCACCATGTCTGGTCCCCACATTGCTTTGATTTAAGATGCAAAGATGTATGCTCGGTTCATGAAAAAAGTGATATGCTTTGGGTGATGGATCTGAGCCACTCTCTCCTAGGTGGGAACAAGCTGTGGGTATCTCGTTACTCTTCACTGACACAGGGTCTCTGTTTTATCCATAAGAGAGTTGGAGGGTCACAGAAGGCTTTTGTGGCCAGGCCTGGAAGTAACATGTATCACTTCCAGTCACTTCCTGTTGACCAGAATCAGTACAGGGTCCCCACTGTCCCCAGGGGAAGCTGGCTAATGTCACCCTGTGTGCCTAGGGAGATTAGCGAGCACAGAGTAGAGTTGCCCTGCCTCAGTAAGAAGGCTGCTATAATGAAGGCCTATGGTCTGGGAGACTCATAATCAACAGAAATTTATATTTCAGTTCCGGAAGTTGGCTGTCTAGGATCAGGTTATGGTAGGGGCAGATTCTGGGCAGAACCTTCTGCTTGAGGCAGACTGCCAGCTCCTTGTATTCTTACAACCAAGGACAATAGGAGAGCTCTCTGGAGTTCCTTTATGAGGACATTCATCACTTTAATATGAGCTCCAACCTTGTGACAGAAATGCTGTCAAAACTTCTATTTCTTAGTGCAACCCACTGGAGGTTAGGATTTCAGTAGATGGAGTTTGGGGTAACACAAGCACTCCCAACCCTTCCTTCCCCTCCACTCGCTCAGTTTGCTCCAGATACTTGTCCTTCTTCTGTACTCTTACCTCAGGGTCTGTGCCATCTGCACACAATTCTTTTTCACTCAGAAACCTCCACCTCACTCTCACCCTCCATTCATGAAAAACAATTTATGTATATGGCAAGAAATATATATCACAATATTGCTCATGTGAATTATTCAGAAATGTCCAATTCAGTGAGATTAAATCTACGCACAATGTTGTGAACCCCTTACCATTATCTATACCTCAACCTTTTTCATCATGCCCAAATTTGACTTTGATATTCATTATACAGTAACTTCCTCTTTCCTTGTCCCAGTCCCTCACTGGTGCCTCTCTTCTGATTTACATCTCTGAATCTACCTCTTTTAAGTACCTCCTCTGCAACAGACTAAAAGTTTGTCTCCTTAAAATTCATATGCTGAAATCTAAATCCCCTAGGCAATGTTATTAAGCATTGGAATCCCTGGGTGGTAATTTAGCAATGAGCATGGAAGCTCATGATAGGATAAAATCCCTTATAAAAGAGGTCTCAGAGAGCTAGCTGGTCCCTCTGTTGTATGAGGACACTGCAGGCTGGTACTATACGAACTGCAGGGCACACCCTGCAGAGGCATCAGATCTGCCGGCATGTTGACTTGTGCCTCCCAGCCTCCAGAGCTGTGAGAAAATAAATGTTCTAAAGCACCCCAAGTGGAGCAGGACATCCTGTAAGTGAAATCCTACAATATTGGTCCTTCTGTGTCTGATTTGATTTCACTAAGAGTAATGTCTTCAAAGTCTGTCCATGCGATGGTGCACGTGGAACTGTCATTCCTTCTGGTAGCTGCATGGTGTCCCATGGCATGACTGTGCTACACCTTAGCTGCCCATCATCTGTGATGAACACTCAGACTGTACATTTTGGTGATGGTGACTAGTGCTGCTATGAAGGCCGGCCTTCGGAAGTTTTAACAGATGAGGAAACTGGAGATCTGGGGAATGAAGTGAATGTGTTTGTGGTCATATGATTAATGAGAACCCAAGTCAGAACATGGCCTGAGATGTGTTGAGCCTGAGGGAGAAAGACTCCTACTGGAGTCCTTGCTGACTCTGGGCTGGTGAAGAAGCCACTCAGCTCTTAATGGCAGTGCCAGCTTGGGGATGGAGCAGGATGAGATATAGCTCAGCTTTTCAGGTTGGTCTCTTCAGAAGCAAACTGGAAGGAAGCAAAGGAAATGAAAAAACCTTGACAGGGTGAGGTCCCAGCCTGGTCCTGAGGAGACCCTGGGACATAGGTTAGACTCATACTCTGCCTCACTGAGAGCAAGCGAGTTGGGCTTCCCAGCCCCAGTCAGTGACTGAGGGTGCCCAGGAGGGATGTTGCTTTGGGCCATTCCTCACCCACTGAAGCTGCTCTGTGAATTGCTGGTGAGAGATTTTACCAGGAAAACCCATGAAGGAAGTTGCTTATTGTATGAACAGCACCAGTAAAAGAATCACAAGAGGACCTGACAGGGAAGGCAGGGATGGTATGTATGCACTCTCAGGGTTGTCTTTTGTCTCTGAGCAGGGACTGTTCTAGAGAAGCTGCTGCACTTGGTGATTACTTACGTAGAATGCCCAAATGCCCCCAGCATCCTGCCGAAGCTCCAGGACCTGTACCAAAACCTGGAGGCTGGAACAGAAGGTCTGTGCATGAGAAGCTGCTCACAAACAGCAACAGCTCTGTGGATGACACAGAGAACAGGGCAGCATGAAGAGAGTGGTGGGGCCCCAGACACAGGTGGGCAGGCCGGCAGGAGGTGAAAACTTGCTTCTCTTTTCCCTTCACCAACATAGTCTCTCTCAGGAAAGTGTCAGGCCTCCAGTGGCCAGGTGGGAAACAGCACTGTGTGAAAGGAAGTAGGCTGGGGCTAGGGAGATGAGAAGTGGGAGGCCTGGAGGAAATCCAGTGGGTCAGCAGTCATTCAGTTCTAGCCAACTGTCAGTGTTCTAGAAGGAGGGATCCTAGCCAGTGGGAGTGCTGATGAGCATCTCGCTATTGTGCCAAGCTGTGTTCCACAGGCCACTTACACATCCCTGAGTTTGGTCTTCTCAATGACTCTGGGAAGCTGGCAATCTGGGAATCCATAGTTTTCAAATGATGAAACTGAGGGAGGGATCGAATAACACATCCAAAATGACATAGCTTATGAACAGCAGTGCTGACTCCCAGACCCAACCAAGCAATCTGGCTCCAGCATATATAACAACCATCCCATAATGGCCACAAGCCAGAAAATCCCTAATTTGTAAAAGCCAGTGAAGTCTTCCTTTGCTAATCTAAATTGCTTCTCAGCCTTTTGGCTAAGATCAAGTGCTAACTAATCTGTATTGGCCTTAGGACATGGCATGAGCTGAACATATGAAGGATAGGATTAGATCCCTAGATTGCTGGTTGCTGTAAGATAACCATAACAGGGAAAGTAGTGGGGAAGGGCATGTGGTTGCATCTGCCTTCACATTTCTGTTGTGTGTAAGGGAGATAATCCTACATTCCTCCTAATGTAGTGAAGATTGAAGGACATAATTGATGTAAAGCTCTTAGAGATGGGGCTGGTATTGGTAAGTGCTCAATAAATGTGCACAGAATTAGCATCTGGATGAGAAAGAGAGGGCCAATTAATGTGTATGGGTAAGAGTGGAGGTAGACAGGGCTTAGAACTAAACCCTGAATTCCAGCATGGAAAGGAGAAAGAGAGGCAGAAGAACAAAGGAGAATGAAAATAAGACAAAACCAGGCAAAGCTGGGGTCACCAGCAGATGAGGGACAAGAGGGCTGCCAAAGCTGTGACAAGCAGTTGCAAGAGGAGCTGCTGGTGCATTGGAGGAGAAGAGATGGGGTGAGGCATGAGTGGCTCTTGTTATATGCAGTACATGGACCTAATCTAATTGGGCAACCACCTGGGTTTCTTGGGGTAGAGGAAGTTGATGAGACTGTACACAGACAGATGACTGAGATGATGCAGAACTGGAATGAGGTCTCCCCAGATGAGCTGGGGAGGTTCCTGGAACAATGGATACAATGCCTCATGAAACAGGAAGAGGATTCAGGCCAGAGGCATTCATCCTCCAAATTCTTTTTAAAAAATGAGATGTCTGGTAAGTGTCAACTTCATGAACCTGCTTCCTTGTCTCACTGATCCACCTCTAGACTGTTCTTTAAGGGGCGGTTGCAGGGGTGACCAGATGTCCTGAGCTCCATTCTTCTACCGAGGATGTCCTGATTTGTCAATACAGCTCAGGCCCAGGGGTCACAGAGGGAATGGACAGACCACTTGTCTGGCCTGGCAGTCTCACAATCTCCTGGGAGAGAGGGAGAGTGGACAAACAAGCCATCTCTGATGCCTGAAAGTGATAAACACCCATCCACCCATGAAAGTGGAGAAAAATTCCAGAGGGGAAAGGAGAGAACAGGTTCCTGGCAGGAAATTCTGAGTGATGTCATATGCATCAGCCACAGCAGAGGCAAAACTGCTCACCGAGGCCTGAAATGACTCAGAGGCAGCCTGTCCTCACCTTACACAACCCAGCCCTGGATCTTCTCCCACAAGCCACCAAAGGCTGACTTTTCTCAGTGCTCACCCAGCATGGAGGCAGACACTGGGTACCCTTCTCATCAGCAAATCTCTAGCTCACCAAGGACAAAAATGAAAGGAATGCAAATTCCACCACCTTCAGCCTTTCTCAAGCTTTTCCTTTGTTGTCTTCCTCTTTTGCCATCTCACCAAAAATTCCTCTTTTACCTTTGTTGCATAAAATCAGTCTACTCATTTTTCTGGCCTACAATTTCAGTAGCAAGGCTGCCATTACCTTGATAGTTTTGGGTAGCTCTTGTCCAGATTCCCCTTAGATGAGATTAAAGTAGAAGGTATCCTTCAGAAGGTGCTGGGTGGGAGGCAGCTGAAGAATGACAGTGAGCCTTGTGCCCAAGCAAAGTCTGTGGAAAGCCAACGCTGGCTCTTGGCTCTGTCTCAGAGATGTGATGTTCCCATTAACCCTCCTTGAGCATGGTCCATGGAAAGAGATGGTGGTGACCACACTCCAATATGCTTTTTGTTTGTTGTTTTGATCCAGGCTCTCACTGCGTAGTTTAGGCTGCCCTTGTATTCATTATGTAGTCCAGATTGGCCTTGAATTTGTGGTGATCCTCTTGCTGCAACTTTCCCAGGACTAAGATTACAAATGTGTGCTACCGCGTCTGGCCTTCTATGTTTTTCCCATAATGACTTCACTTTGTGCTCGAAAAGGAGCACACATCGTTAATGTGCCATGTTGTAAAATGAGGTGCATAAATTTACTTGTGTGGCTAAGCATTGTGGATGTAAGTTGGTTCAAACCATTGTGCTACATGGAACATTTTGTTGCCTCTTTTGGCTCTACATTCACAGACTTGAAGAAGTTGTGTTGATTTCAGCCTCTTCTATCTTCTCTTCAAAAGAGAGGATATTTATGAAGTATTCTGAGTGAAGTCTGAGAAGTGAGGTAGGATGCCACTCTTCTCTTGCAGGAAGAGCCTGGCTTTCTAGGCATGTGCTGCTGCCAAGTTCTGCACTGGGCTCTGTCCACTTACCTTACAGGCATCTTCATTAGGCCAGGAAAGGACGTAGATCAAGCTGAAATGCAGTGAGCTGTCATTAACTACCGAAGAGCTACACAAAGAGGTGCAGAGGTATATGGATTGCTAAAATACCTTAGAAGAGAATACATAATAAATGACTATTGCCAAGTATGTTGGTCAGCATTCTTCAAAGAGCAGAACCATTTGGGTTTATCTATAGCTTTGCAATCAGTCTATGTATATGTAAGTTTTGCATTTGCATATTCAACCAACTGTGGATCAGAACTATTTAAGCACATATGCCTGCATTCAACAGGCACAGACATGTTCTTTCCACATTTCCTAAATGATACAGCAACTCCTTACATTGTATCAGGGGGCATCACAGCATCACAGGGCATCCATGATGATGTAAAGTACATGGGAGAATGTGCACTGGAAGTATGCAAAAACTTTACCATGTACATAAGGGACTTGAGCAACATAGGGTGTGCTTGGGGGCAGGACTACTTGATCCAAGCCCCCATGACTTATATCCATATCTGTTTATGTGGATCTATAACTATCTATCTGGCTGTCTATCTATCCATCCATTCATTGGTATTTGTTGGTCTCTCTGTGGTCTCCAGAAGAAAATGGTGAGACGCTTTAGAAAATAAAGACAAGAGGGTCGGTGAGATAGCTCAGCAGACTAAGCACCTTCTTAGACAAGCGCAGAGGCCAGGATTCTATCCCTGGCACCACATGCTGCACTGGCCCTGCCCCCGGGCATGCTGAGCCGGCCACTGAGTCCAGGCATGGTGGTGTGCTCCTTAATGCCAGTGCTGGGGAGGCTGAAAACAGGAGGGTTACTATGAGTTGGTGCTGCATAGTGAGACCCTGCACGCACGTGCACGCACACACACACACACACACACACACACACACACACACTCCAACCCAAAAAAGCTCCAAGAAAACTAAAGAAAGAAAAGAAAGACAAGAGATAATAGCTGAGGTCAGCTGGTGGACCATGCCTGGTTGGCAGAGGACCCCACACAATAATAGGGAGCATTTATTTATGCCTTTGCAAAGTTATAAGATAGACTTATAACTTTGGTTGCCTAGCAACTAATGTCCCACAATGTCCAGCAACGATGTTTTTCTTGATTGAGGTAGCTTGACTGCTTTAGGCAGTGAGGCCTCATCCTGCCCTTCTACATAGCATCAATTTCCAGTTTCAGTGGCTCCCAGTATCTGTCTGTCTGCCTGCCTGCTTTTCTCTCCTCTCCTCTCCTCTCTTCTCCTCTCCTCTCCTGTTCTCTCCTGTCCTCTCCTCTCCTCTTCTCCCCTCCCCTCTCCTCCCCTCCTCCTCCTCCTTCTCTGTCCTATCATCTATATTTATTTTAAGAATGTGGCTCAACAGAATGCTGGGATTGGCAAGTTCTAACTCAGGGATCAGGTCCCACCCTGGAGCTGTAGGTTTGAGGCAGGCTCTCTCTTCTCTGAACCCTCAAGTGTTTGCTCCTAAGACCTTTAACTGATAGAAAGCAGCACAGGCTGGGCATTCCCAGCTCATTGTGTCATTCTGCTTACGCTGCCATAAGGAAGCACCACTGAGCTGGAAGCCCTTATAGCAGATGTGTAAGTGTCTGTTCTGAAGGCTGGAGTCCAGAACCTGGGTCTTAGCAGGGCTGGTTTCTCCTAGTGCCTCTAACCTGGGCCTGAGGATGCTCAGCCTCCTTCTCACCATTCACATATGACCTTTCTTCTGTGCATGGCCATCCCTGGTGTCTGTTCCTCATCAATAGGACATGAGAACTGTTGGATCAGGGCCTCCTCTTATGGCATCATTTAGCTTTGTCTTCTCTAAGTGCCCAAATACAGTCACACTGCTGATCAGGGCTTCCATAAAATATCAGGGGACAGGGCTCTGTTCACTCCATTAAACTCACCTTTCCCTTTCAATTTCTCCCTCTAGAGATACTCGACATTTGTAATGTTCTAATTAAAACTACGTTGTGCTCTTTGAAGTGGGAATGGGGGACCACTCACAACTTCTTGTATAAATATGGTAGGTAACAAAGCTCCTGGCCTGCCTTACCAAGTGGGGTGGGCTGAGGTAGTGGAAACAAGGGACTCAAAATGATCTCATCGCATCTCTCCCCAGAGGTGTGGAGTGGGGCGGGAAGGCACCCATGGTTCTGGTTGGAGGAGCTGTTCTCTGGCTGGTGATTCACAGTTCAAGGCATTGTAAAGTTGATAGTTTTGCTGCCTCTAAGAAGATACAAAACCTCTGATTCCTCATTAGTCAGTCATAGGATCTGGCCCACATGGGCTGTCATTTTGTATTATCCCAGTGTTTGGGCAGAGCTGACTTTGGTGTCCAAGTGCCCTCTCCAGGGCTGCTTTATAATCTGCCTAAGATGCTGCTTTCCTGCCGATGAATGCTCTGCCCCAAGGCACACTGCGCAGATCCCTACTCTTTGGTGACAAAACTACAGTGCGTATCTCTGTGTTTTGGGCCTTGTTGTGTTTGTTTAAGTCAGGAAAGGGTGCATCCTCCAGGATAGGGTGTTCTAAAGTGGCTGCTCCTTGTGCATGGCTTGTAAAGGGCATTACTGCACTTTCTGTTGCTGTAACAAAGTGGCTTATTCAACACAGGGTTTTAGAGAGTGAAAGTCTTGGGTAGCCCCTTTTGTTCAGCTTCTGGTGAAGGCCTTGTTGGCTGTGTCATAACATGGCAGAATGAGGCAAATGCAGGAAGAGAAATGACCAGATGCAGAGACATCAAGCACATGGCTGGCCTCATTTTATAACAAGCTGCTCTCTTAACATCTCCTCCATCTGTTTTGTGAGACCAAAAATAATCCCTTGCAAGGCGGCACCTCCATGACCTCCTCTTAGGCCTCACTTATTAAAGGTCCTGCCGCTGCAACACCACCACACTGGACACACTCAAACCATAGCAGAGGTGAACACTGGCTGAACATCAGCCTTCAGTTCTTTTTATATGCTTTGTGCAGGCTCTGCAGCTCAGATTGTGAACAACGCCTTTCATATATCTGTGTTCTGGCCTTAGAATAGACTGTCAGGTGCAGAACCAATGGGTCTCTTCCTGGGTACTGCAGGTGAAATCAAAGAAAATGAAATGAGAAACCGGGAACTCATTCACCTGATGGACGCTGGTTTTGCCATCAATACTCCGTACCCGCTTGTTCTGCTCCCTGCACGGAATGTCCAGCTCATCCTCTCCTTTGACTTCAGCAGTGGGGATCCTTTCGAGGTAAGTGAGCAAGGCGTTGGTGGTGTTCCTGGGTGGAGGTGGAGCTCTTTGGGAAGGAGTTAAGGACCCAGGAGGGAAGTGGTTGGTGGGAAGTGTGGTTGGAGGTCTGTCAAGCAAATCTACTGATTCTTCACACTGGAAGTATTCATCAGCTGGCAACCTCCAAGGAGCCTCTGATCTGCTAAATGCAGTTCAGAACTTCCTGGACTCTTCTTATTCACAGGTGGTTTTGCTACCCATTGGGCATTGTCTCCCGCAGCTGTAGTAGTTTGAGTGTGAAAGGTCAGCTCCTCACCATGGCGTCTCCCTCCCAGTGTCCAACTCTAAGTAGGAGGCTGCTTCTTCGTATTCTTCCCAGCCTCCTGAGGTCCTAGAAGCCCTCAATAAAGGTTTGCTGAGAAAATCTGTAACTAGGACATAGTGCACTTTCAGGAAGCAATAGTTTTTTTTTTTTTTTTTTTTTTTTTTCTCAGTCACTCTGAGCTACTGTCCTGGCTTCACATCACCTCTGCCACTTACAAGTGATCTATTTTACATGTGTGCACTTCAGTTTCCTCAAGTGTCAAACCCAGTTCATAAAAGCTCCCCTCAGAGTTGTTATGCAGATTCAATTAGCACTTGTTAATACTTGTAAAGTGCTTAGCACAATACCTGCCACTTAGCATAGGGTTTACAAATATTGTCTTTAAAACTATGAAAAGGAAACTTGTACATTGTTGGTAGTATGTAAACTAGTACAGCCACTATGGAAAGTCAATATGGAGATCTATCCAAAAACTAAAAGTAGAAATTCCATTTGACCCACCTATTCTCCTTCTAGGTATCTTCAAAAGAGTTAAAGACATCATATTACATTAACATATGCATACCTTTGTTTATAGAAGCATGATTCATAATAGCTAGATCCTGGAAGCAGCCTATATGTCTACCAACAGTTGAATGGATAAAGAAAATGTGGCATTTACATCCAACAGAGTACTAGTCCACCATAAAGAGAGATAAACTGGCGTCAGATGTAGGAAAATGGTCCACCTGGAGACTCCATTGTGAAAGAGCCAACTAAAAGACAGATAATACGGAGTAGAGAGATAGATCTTTCTCAAATGGGAAGGGGATCAAGAGCTGGAGGGTGGAAGGGAAAAGGGGATAAAAAATGGATTAAAATGTGCCATGCACATACACCAGTGGCACCCAAGAAATGTACGTGTTTTGTACTGTGAAAGTGTACTACCGAGCATGGTGGTGCATACCTGTTGTCTCAGCACTCAGGAGGCTGGAGCAGGAGGATTGCTGCAAGTTTGAGGCCAGCCTGGAGTACATAGCAAGGCCTTATTTAAAAAAAAAAGGCATACTATTAATAATATGAAAAACAAAATATATAATATAAAATTATTTATTTCATAATGCATGCCATGATATAATCGTGTGTATATGAAATAATCATGACACAACAGATATCTTAGATGTATGTGCCGTATAATGAACATTTATATTAACATGTATATCTGGATATTTCTGTAGTATGAGTCAGAGGCATCTGCTCTTATCTCTGTTTCCCTTGGTCAGAATCCATGTGTACCCTTTTCTGTGTCTTTGGCCCTAGAACATTCAAGCATTCTGATTCTAGGATTTATGCTGATTGAAAGATCTCCAGAGAATGATAAAGTTGGAAAGATCAGTATTTTGGGTATCACTCCAATGAATTCTTCTGTATAACCCTGAGCAACAGTCTCCACCTCTCAACCTCTGTTTTCTCACGTTGGTAGTGGATATAATAGCCTCTGCTTCATTAGAATCTCAACTGGTGCTCTTCGCAGGGTCTGGTCCATAGCTGATGTGGAGTAAGAATAGTGGTGCTTAGACAGGTGATGACAGAAATCACAAGAGCGATAACAAACACAGCAACATTTGTTGCACTTTCAATCAGAGAATACTGCATACAGCTGTGTTTTCTGACAGATACACAGACCAATGTAATATTTGAGCACTTGAAATATACCCAGTCCACAGTGAGATGTGCTGTGAGCTTAAACACTTTGGATTTTAAAAACTGAGTGTAAGAAATGAATATAAGTGAACCGATCATTTTTTATATTGATTACCCATACTGTTGACATTTCAAGTTAGCTAAAATTTATTTTAAAATTATTTTTCCCTTTTTCTTTTTGCTTATTGCTATAGTTTGAATCTTAAATGCTCCTCAGGGACCCATGTGTTAGACCCTTAGTCTTAGGTGTGGAGCTATGGAAAGACAGTGGAAACTTTGAGAGTCTTGTGGGAGGTCCTCAGGCCACTGAAGAGGGCTGTGGGACCCTGGGATCTTTCTTTTTCTTTTTTTGCCCCTTGGCTCATGATGTAAGAGGTTTTGCTTTGTCTCACATTCCTGCCATGAAAGCTGCCTCATCACAGGTCTATAGCAATGGGACTAATTGATTATGGACTATATCCTCCAAAACCGTGAGCAAAAATAAACCTTTCCTCTTTTCAGCTACTGGGGATTGAGCCAAGGCTTGTCACATTGGGTTCTATCCCCTGCCCATTTTATTTATTTTTTCTTTTTTGGAGACAGGATCTCAAAATTTGCTAAGTTGCCCAGGCTGTGCTTAAACTCACAATCATGCCTCAGCATTCCAAAGTGCTGGGATTATAGGTGTGTGCCACCATTTCCATCTAACTTTTTTTGTTTGTAAGTTGATTATCTCAGGTACTGTGTTGTAGTAACAGCAAAATGACACGCTTATTTCAAATGCTACCAGATCATTTGAAGACACCTATGTAGCTGATACTCAAATCCTTTTCTGGGTACCCTTTTCCTCACCTTCTAAGTTTCCCAGTCCCTAGTCCTTAGGGTTACTGTCAAGCTTGCAAACACCACAGATATTGTCTCCCAGCTGGAGAGAGAATGAAAGCTAGGGTAGCTTTCTTGAATAGAAAGCTTCACCCATGTCTAAGCCAGCACCTCTTACACATTGTCTGGGCTCTTTGCTGAGGTTCTGGAATGTCTCCAGGCCCTAGGCACTTTCTGGATAGTCTTGGAGACAGGACTCTCTTACCCTCTTCCTAGACCATCAGGTCCACCGCTAAGTACTGCTGTGATCACAAGATCTCGTTTCCCCCTGTGGATGAGACTACACTGAAAGAGTGGTCAAGTGCCCCCAGCAGCTGCTACATCCTGAAAGGGAACAGTGGGCCTGTTGTGATGCATTTTCCTCTGTTCAACAGAGACAACTGTGGAGGTAGGTACATGAGAAGAAGCAGGATGAGGAGGCACCAGGCCATGCTGGCCAGGGCTGAGCTACAGCTAAGGGACATCTGATCTTTCCTTCAACATTTGAAGGTCAAGAGTGTACAATGAGGAAGATTTATCCTTTCCACGTTGGTCTCTCAGGACCTCTTGTCTTCTCTGCTGTGCCTCCTGAGTGAGTGCTGTGTTCAAATGTGTTTGTCTTCTTCCTCCACTTAACAAACATTCGGTGGTCACCTATATTGCCTCAACCATTGTTTCAGGCAATGCAGGATAATGTAGAAAGAAGACATATTCTTATCTCACATGGAACATTATGTAGGTAGTAGGCATTGATAATGAAACATATAGATGGCTTTATAATGAATGTACCAATAAATCTTTACTTATATTCATAGGTAAGTGGCTATATCTTGAAATGATAAAATTAAGTGAAACAAATCAGACATACTTGCCATGATTTCTGTTATGTGAGAAAACCAAAATATAAATAAAGATCAATAAATAATAGGAAGTAGGGAGATGTTTTTCAAATGGGAAAGAGAACAAGAGATGGAGGAAGATGGGAGGGAGGGAAAGTGAAGGGGGTAAAAGAAAAATAATTGAATAAAATGGAGATAGAACAAATGGGAAGGGCACTAAGAGATGCAAAGAGTGGGGTAAGGGTAAATGGGAAACATGCATCAGTTAAGATGTGTTTTGTGCCTGTGCCAACTCTCCACAATAAATGCAATCATTATGTATGCAGATATGTACTAATAAAAATTCAGATTTAAATTTAAAATCTCAAGTAGCAGACTAGGTAGATTTGTACAGAGTGATAGTTTCCAAACCTCTGCATGGACAAAATCAGTGGGACTAATTATCCACACTTGTGGTACACTGTCGTCTTCCTTTATTTGATTCTCTTCAGATGACATTCAGAAATGGCATGAAATATACAAGACCTTTAAATTGGCTGACAGCTACTCTCTAGACCTGGTGATCCGGCTCCTGGAACTGTCCAAGGAGAATGTCAGCAAAAATACAGAGAAGATTCTTGGCGAGATAAAGAAGATGGTCAGGTGTGTGGGAAGCCAAAGCTATGGCATCAACTCAGAGAAGCACAGTTTTTTTCCTATTTTAGTTTGCTCCACCCTAGGGGAGAAGGGTGGTGAGAGACACTGAGGAGTGAACAGTTCTCTGGAGAAGTTCAGGGCCACATGGGCTAATTTGATAAGGGCGTGGTACCAAAAGCCCACAGGCAAGGAAGCATGAAATGCAGGAATGTGTTGCCTCCCAGTGGTGGAGGCTATAAAATCAAGGCATGACGTGGGCAGGGCTGGTTCCTTGTGAGTGCCAGGAGGGAAGGATCTGGTTCAAACTTCTCTTCTTAGCTTTCCAGAGCCATCTTGCCCCTGTGTCTATTTACATTGCTTTTGTATACACAGGCAAGATGCTCCTTTCTTATAACATCCCATTTGGATGAGTTCATTGCCCATTCTGATTACCTCATTGTCATTAAATTGCTTCTCTAAACACCCTGTTTTCAAATAATGAGGTGATGGGGGAATAAGATCTCCCCACAGGAACTTGGGGGGCACACATAAACCCACAATGTAGCGTTAGCAGAGAAATTCAGGTCAGACTATCTGGGGTCAGGTGTCCAGGACAGATGTCTTAAAGGGGTCATGTCTCAGCTTGAGTGAAGCAAAGGAACAACGGTGACACCTTCTGCTTAGGAAGACAGGATAGGTCCTTGGAGGCTCCACCTTAGAGTCTGAGGTGGTAAGCCTGTGGAGAAGAGTGTGAGAAGGAGGCGGAGGCCATGTAGCCAGTCCTATTGCTGTAGCAAATTGCTGCCCATTTAGTGACTTTGTAAACCACATATTTATTTATTTATTTATTTATTTATTTATTATTTATTTATGTGAATACACAATGGTAGAAAAAATTAGCAAAACAGAATTTTACTAAACAAAATAATAGGAATTTGACAATGGTCATTGTATTACATAACATTATCTTCAAATTACTTACTTTTTTCCCCATAATTTTATTGATAAACAAATAGCAATAGGACAGTTTCAAATCAAATCGGTAGGTCAGTTTCAATAATTAACACACTGCATACATTCTTCCTAGTGGTTAATTGCTGCACAAGATGCGGACTTGATATCCTATTTACAAAAACCATTAGAACAAATCCCTCCATTCATTAAGAGAATGTAACTATATATCTATCCTAACCACTTTGAATAAACAGATACAGAATGGATATTCATCTGTATACCCTTTTCTTTGTTAAGTTCCATTATTTGAATATTATAGGTGTGCAAACTCAGCAAAATATTCTAAAAGAGTCCAGTAGCCCATAATAGCATTGGGTCTTCCGCTTGACTGGCAATGTCAGAAATTGTTGACCTGAGTCCCCTATAGCTCAACATAACAGCATGGCTTTACTTCTTATATATTTTTTTTATACTTTTCTGTTGGATGGTTAAGACCAAGGTAA